CGATTCCATGACCAGACCGCTCTGGGCCGCGTCGGGGGTGTGGCAGGAGAGGCATTTTTCCTGAAGAATGGGCTGAACGTCCCTCTCAAAGTCGACCGGGGACTCTCCCAGCAGATGGCTCCCAGCCAAAACGGCCAGAATCAACCCCAATGAAACCGCAACCGCTCGCCATTTCATGGATAAAGCTCCTCTAAAGGTATAATTGCGAGTGCACAAATTCACGTGAATCCTATCTCACCCACCGGGGCGTGTCAATAAAGAAGCCCGTTGGAACGGCCGCGGCAGCGGGTCGGCTTGCCGCCGACGGGAGCGGCTTCGGGAGGGTGAGTTTCCCCCCTCCGGCTCGACTGCGGGCTCCGCCCTCTCGCCGACTCCCCCTCCAGGGGGGAGTGATACTCAAGCGCCTTATGCAAGCCTCACGATCACTCCCCCCTTGAGGGGGAGTCGCAGAAGCCGAGCCGGCAGGCGAAGGCTGATGCGGTGGGGGGCCAGTCGCCGACCCTTCAAACGAAGGCTGATGCGGTGGGGGGTGGACGCCGGGCCGCCAGGCTGCGGCGCGCGGCCACGCCAGGTCGCTCCAGCGCCGTCCCGAAACGCACTTCCTTTCCAGAACAAGGGCTTTGGAACCGGCCAGGCAACCCGGTCAGGAATCCTTCTTCACCGGCGTGTAGATGGCGGTGGGCAACTGATGAATCTTTCCGTCGCGGTCGGCCAGGTCATGAATCTTGCCGGCGCCTCTTTTCTCCACTTCGTCGATGCGAATCACCGAGTGGAGAGGGATGTAGGTTCGCCGCACGCCCTCGAATGTGGTGCGCAGCGTCTCTTCGGAGGGATCCACCACCACGGAGGTTTTCTGACCGAAAAGGAGGTGCTCGACTTCCACGAATCCGAACAGCCCGCCCTGGCTCACCCGCTTGGCGTAGATCTCGTAGACCTTGCCTTCATTCAGAAAGGTAATCTTGTAGACCTGCTTTTTTTCACTCTCGTTCATGGTCTCGACAGAGTCTATCCCATTTGGGCGCCCCTGATCCAATGGGGCCGATGGCGGCGCAGCCCGATGGACCGGCTAGCCGCGGGTGAGCTCTCGGCGGCTGGGCCGCAGCTTGCCGAAATCCGCTCCCGAGATGATGTAGTACCAGTCGGCGAAGCGATGGCGCAGCTCGCGCTCCAGGGTCCGGCCCTCCTTGCCGGGAGTCTTCCCCTCGGCATACTGTCGGGCCCGGGCGGCACTGTAGTCGACGGTGATGAACAGATAGCGGCGCTCTTCCGTCTGGTTGGATTTGGGAGCCTCTCCCCCTTCCTGCGCGGGCGTCGCCGTGAAAGCGCTCGTTCCTCCCGGTGCAATCTCCCCAAAGCGCAGTGTGTATTGAATCCCATTGGCCGTTTCCACCAGGATTTCCCCTTCATTGGAAAAGAGCTGCCCGATGGAAGTAACGAAAAAGCCCTTCTGGCGCAGGGACAGGACCGACTCCCTGGACAGCCGGATGCCTTCGGGGGTTTTGAGGTCCCGGGTCAGATTCTTGGGCTTGGGTTGAACATCGACGATGCGCAGATTATCCAGCGCCTCTGTCAGGGCATCGATCTTATTGCCGCGCAACCTGCGTCGGCCCAGCAACCAGCGGTCCTTTTTTTTGGTCAGGACCGTTCGCTCGGAGTTTTCCAGTCTCCCCAGCCGCTCGTTGATGGAGTAGCTGTTGATGGTGATCTTGCGGATGTCCCCGGCATCCAGCTTCAGCAGATCCGTCTCGATCCAGTCCTCGAACCTGGAAGACACCCGGGCGTCGGTCTTGACGGAGTAGATCCGTCGATGGGCGGGGACCCGCATATGGCGGTAACCGGGCTTGCCCTCGGCCGGCTTGCCGATCACGAAATCCGCCAGGACCTGATCGTTCCCGTCCTTGAGGGTCACTCGTTTTCCGCGGCCGGTCAGACCGGCGGTTCGGTCGTCCAGCGGGTCGATCACCCCATAGCGGCCGTGGTCCTCGATGCTGTCGGAAACCACGATGTCCTTCCTGAGGGCCATGAGCGCCGCCGCGGTGTCGGCCAGGCGGTTTTCGGCATCGGCCGGATAGTTATGGTGGGAGGGGATTCCCCACTTGTTGTCCTTGAACTCGACCTTCAAGGGGCCGGCGGTCGCCGTGGCTTCGTCGTAGTCGATGATCTCAATCGTCTTGGGGGCCTGAGGGTCGTCAAATGCCGGATAGAAGGGCTCTCCCTGGTCGTCAAAAATCCCGGGAGTTCTGCTGCCGGGGATCGACCAGCACCGCAGCCGTGGAAATGGCCAAGGCCGCCACACAGAAAATCGCGGTTCTCAACCATTCGCTCATGGCCGGTTTACCTCGGAGAGAGGATTGCAGTGCCTTCCCATAGGGTCTTGGCTATTCCACCAGGCGGTCGGCCGCCACGCCGATCTTCTCCCGGCGCAGCCTGCGCACCGATACCAACAGAAAGAGCGCAAAGGCGGGAATCGGCGGCAGGGCCGCCGCCAGAAACTTGATGGCGTTTTGAATGTCCCGGATGGAGGACTCCATGTCGGCGCGGCTCTTGCCGATCAGTCGCTGCTTTTCCTCTTCGATGTTGGTCCGGGCCACGGCCAGACGGCGATTCTCGGCTTTTTCCTGGTTGGCGATCATGATGCGCCTGGTTTGTTCGTCCAGGTCCTGGCGCTGGCGCAGTGCCGCCACCGACCGATCCAGCCGCTCCTGGGCTTCCTGCAGCCGCTGGGCCGCCGTGGCTTCGGCTTGCCGGGTCTCGTCCAGGCGCCGCTCCTCGTAGACCCTGGTGCGGGATTCCACGGCCTCCAGAGTGCGATGCCGCCGCCGGCGCTTGCGCAGGGCGATGAAGGACTCGTCGCCCACCAGTTGGTCCACGGCATTCAGTAGGAAGGTCACGTTGTCGAACTGCAGGGTTTCAACACCCTGGCGCCGTATGGAAAAGAACTGTTCCCCCATCAGGTCGACGTCGGTGAGGAGGATGGCGCGCACGGGATGGTCCGATGTCTTGCCGGCCAGGCGGGCAGCCAGGGTGTAGCGTTCGGGATCGGGTTCGTGGGGGAGATTGCCGGCCAACTGGAGGCCGAACAGCGAGCGTTGCACCAGCCGGTTCCAATCCGTCAGACCGGAATCAGGACCGGTTTGAAGCAGAGGGGTCAGGGTCGTCCGGCTGCCGGCGGCAGGCTTGATCGAACCCGGATAAATCGCAACCAGCTCCTGAAGTCCGGAAGTGATGGCCTCGTCCGGATTGAAGGGAGGATCCTCCCCCCCCCCGGCGCCCAGGAAGATGACTTCCGGAGGCAGGGAGCGGAACTGTGGGATGGGGATTATACTTGTCCCAGGCGATGCGGCCCGGGTCCCATTCCACTCCCAGTACCTCCATCAGCGGCTGGAGGTCGGCCCGGCTTCCGGGGCGGCGGGCCCTGGCGAAAGGGTCCCGGAGGCATCGACTGCGCCGAAAGCTCGGGATCGAAAGCCGGAAGGGGATCCACTATCAACAGGGTCGGGTTTCCCTCCTTGACGTAGCCCGTCAGTCGGGCCACCTGGTCCTGCTCCAGGGTGTTGGGCAACACCACCATCAAGGCATCCAGGTTCTTCGGGTAGTCCTGGCCGGGCGGCACCTTCTCCACCTGGTACTGCTTCCGCAGCTCCGCCACAATGGCCCAGTCGGTGGATTGCTGGCGGGACTGGAAGTCGAATCCGCCAAAAAGCTTGGCTCCCGTCTCCAGGACTCCGACCCTTCTGCGTTCCGCTCGCGACACCACCCGAATCGAGCGCATCAGTTCGTACTCCACCGGCAGCCCGGGATCGAGAAAGGGGATGACGAATTCCTCGGCGCCGCAGTTGAAGGTGATGCCGAGGAAGATCTCTTCGGGAATTCCCGCGGCCTGCCGGGAAGCCGGCACCCGCCGGGGGCGGATGTTGAAACGCTCCTGGGCTTCGCGGGCCTGCGGCGTATAGGTTTCGGTCTCGACGATCCGGGTCTGCAGGCGGTCCCCGCCAGGACCGACAGCTCCCGGAGCAGGTTGATCAGGTTGTTTCGAGTGGGGAGGTGCCTGCGAGGCACCTCCGGGCTCAGGTAAGCCTGAATGAAGACCGGCTCGCCGGGATCGAGCCCGGCGATCAGCGCTCGCGTATCGGGCGAGAGTGAATGGATCCGTTCGGCGGTGAGGTCAACCCGCCCCCCCAGGCGGTCCAGCAGCAGCGTCAATCCAGCCAGGCCGACCACCAGCGCCAGTGCCCGCACCAGCAGGTGAGAACCCATGGCCGGGGCCTTTTTTCCGGTGAGCCAGTGGCGGCGTCCGAGCAGCGCCACGTTGAGGTAGACCATGGCTGCCACAAAGGCGAGGAAGTAGACGACCGAGGAAAGGGAAACGACTCCCGAAGCCAGGTCCTGGAATTGCTGGTTGAAGGAGAAACCGGCCACCAGTCGTTCGGTCCCCCCGCTGAGGACGGTTCCCGCGTGGTCGATGAAGACGGGGACGGCGCAAAGCAGGGCCCCCAGGATAAAGGCGACGGTGATGTTGTCGGTAAACAGGGACCCGACCATGCCCAGGGCCAGCAGCGCCACTCCCATGAGCCAGTAGCCCAGATAGGTGGAGGCCATCAGGCCGGGGTCGGGGTTCCCCAGCCACCCTAGCACCAGGACGTGGGTCAGGGAAAAGAGGAGGGCCACGGTGTAGATACCGGCGGCAGCCAGATACTTGCCCAGCACGATTCCAAAGTCGGTGGCCGGCAGGGTCAGCAGCAGCTCGTCGGTTCCGTTGCGTTTCTCCTCGGCCCAGATGTTCATGGTGATGGAAGGCACCAGGAAGACCAGCAGGTAGGGGAAGACGCGGTTGAGCTGGTCCAGATTGGCCAGGTTGTTGGCGAAGAACCCATCCTGCCAGAAGGCCGCCAGGGCGCTGAGGAAGACAAAGAGGGTAATGAAGACATAGCCGGTGGGGCTGCTGAAGTAACTGCTCAGCTCCCGCTTGCAGACAACTCTGGCCAGCCGCCAACGACCGCTCACTCTCCCCTCTCCTTTCCCTCGAGGTCCGGCTCCCGCCCGGCGGCCCGGTCCTCCCCGCCCGAGGAGGGCTCGCCTTGCGGCCCTGGGGCGGAGTCTTCCGGCTCGGGCCGTGCTTCCTGGCCGTTGCTGCCGGTCAGGCGGTAAAAGGCCTCATCCAGGCTGCCTCCTCCCGCCATCTCCGCGGGCGTGCCGTCAAAGGCAATCCGGCCTTCGTGAATCAGAATGACGTGATCGGCCACGGCTTCCACTTCCTGCAGAATGTGGGTCGAGAGCAGCACCGTCCGGGTTCGACCCAACTGCCGGATCAGCTCCCGGACATCGCGGATCTGGTTGGGGTCCAGGCCGCTGGTGGGCTCGTCCATGATCAGGATTTCGGGCTCGTGGAGCAGGACCTGGGCCATTCCCAGGCGCTGGCGATAGCCCTTGGAGAGCTTGTAGATGCTCTTTTCCAGGACGGCTTCCAGATGGCACTGCTGAACCACGGCCTCGATGCGCGGGTTGAGCCGGGACTTGGCCAGCCCGCGGGCCTCGCCGAAAAACCTGAGCAGCTCCAGAGGCGTCATCTCCGGATAGAGGGGGACCGTCTCCGGCAGGTAACCGATCCGGGCCGCCGCTTCGATGCGGTGGCGCGAGACATCCCGGCCCGCAATGCGGGCGACGCCTCGGGTGGGTGTGAGATAGCCGGTCAGGATCCGGAGAGCGGTCGACTTGCCGGCTCCGTTGGGACCCAGGAAGGCGGCCACCTGTCCTCGGGGAATGGAGAAGGAGACGTCCTGCAGCGCGGCAAAGGTCCCAAAGATCTTGCTCAACCCTTGGGCCTCAATCATGGGTGAGGAGTCAGGTTCGGTCATGACCATGGCCACAAATCCCGGTTTCTCGCGGCGGCCCTTGGGATGATGAAAGCGGGCCGCAGCTCCAGCGTTCCGGCCGTCATCTCCACATCCCCCCGTGGGACACCGCGGGAGCGAGATGCAACCTCCGCAAGGTCCCTGTGCGGGTCCCCCGGACACTCCTGCTCCCGAAGCCCCGGGCTATGCAGGGCACCGTGGGAAGGTTGTGCGGGTGAAAAGTGAATTGAAGGTGCATCCTCGAGGGCAAGAATCGCCTTCCGCTGCTGAGGAGAAGAACTCCCGCGGCAGGATATTCATTCAACCTTTCTAAGGTTAACCCCAACCCGACTTTTTTTCAATGGGAGCGGCTCCGCCGGTCCCGGCGGGGCGTGTTTAGCCGGGCCCCCGCCAAGGCGTCGCTGCCCGTGCTGCTGATAGTCACTCACGGGACGCGCCTGGGCTGCGCACGGGCTGCGCCTGGGACGCCGCACGGGACGCGCCTGGGACGCCGCGTTTGCCCCCCTCCGGCTCGACTGCGGGCTCCGCCCTCTCGCCGACTCCCCCTCAAGGGGGGAGTGATTCTTGAGGCCTGCATACAGCGCTCGGGTATCGCTCCCCCCTTGAGGGGGAGTCGCAGAAGCCGAGCCGGCAGGCGAAGGCTGATGCGGTGGGGGGGGGCGGCCGCCGGGGCCTCCCGGCTGCGCCACGCTGCCCGTGCTAGAATTCGGGTCTGTAGGAGAACGAGTAGGGGACGTTGTTCTCACAATCGTCAATCAAGATGAACCACGAATAAACACAAAGACCGATGGACCTGCTTTGCTGCGACGGCGTCATGGGAGGAAGCCCACCCGGGAGCGCGGGCGTCCCGCCCGCACAACACTGGCAAAGCCTCGCCCATCTCCTCGACCCGGATCGACCGGCAAAGACGCCCGGGCTCTGCTTGGGCCGGGCCCCTGCCGTTCCCGCCGGCAGGGTGGAGGGGTGCGCCATCGCAGGGAAACTGAGCGACAACCCAAGGGAGAGGGTGCGGGCGGGACGCCCGCGCTCCCGGGTGGGCCGCTTTCGTCACGATTGCCTTTCAAGGGAGAGTCGGCGCAACCGAACTGGATGGATGGTCGCCTTAAATCCCGATTTGACAATCCCTTCGTGGCCCTTCGTGGATCACTCTTTTTCCCTTTTTCTTTTGTCTCAAATATGATGATTAACGCATCGATGCAAACACTCTCCACTCTCCACTCTCCACTCTCCCCTCTTCCCTCTCCACTCTCCACTATCCTCCGGTTCTGCGTAGCCCTCGCCGCCCTGTATTTCCCGGTCTCCGCCGGCGACACCCTGCGGGCGGACCCGGCCGTGCCTTTCAGCGACCGGACCCGGGCGCTGGGCATCGATTTTCGGCACCAGCGCGGCGCCTCGGCCCAAAAGCACCTGGTGGAGACCATGGGATCGGGTTGCGCGCTGCTGGACTATGACGGCGACGGCAGGCTGGATGTGCTGCTGATCAACGGTGGCAGGACGCCCGATTCGCCGCCGTTCGAGCCGCGAGCCCACGCGCTCTACCGCAACCCGGGCGGGGGGCGTCTGGAGGAGGTGACCCGTGAAGCCGGCCTGGATCTCCCCGCCGACTACGGCATGGGAGTTGCCGTGGGCGACTACGACAACGATGGGGACCCCGATCTCTACCTCACCCATTTCGGTCCCAACCGGCTTTACCGCAACAACGGGGACGGCACCTTCAGCGACGTCACCGGGAGGGCAGGGGTTGCCGGCGCCGAATGGAGCACCGGCGCCGCATTCTTCGACTACGACAGGGACGGAGCCGCGGATCTCTACGTGGTGAATTATCTGGATGCGACCTTCGAGCGCAATCCTCCCTGCGAGATGAAGGGAATCCGGGCCTATTGCCATCCACGCCATTTTGCAGGGGTGGCCGACCGTCTCTACCGGAACCTGGGCGATGGCCGATTCCGTGACGTCAGCCGGTCCAGCGGCATTTTGAACCCCGAGGGCAAGGGGCTGGGAGTGGTGGCGGCCGATTTCGACGGCGACGGCTGGGTCGACCTTTACGTGGCCAACGACTCGGTGCGCAACTTTCTACTAAGGAACAAGGGGGATGGAACCTTTTCCGATGTGACGCTTTTATCGGGAACCGGCTACAACAGCCAGGCCCAGGCGGAAGCGGGGATGGGCGTGGATGTGGCCGACTACGACGGGGACCGCCTCCTGGACATTTTCGTGACCAACTACGACCTGGAGACCAACGCCCTCTACCGCTACCAGGGGAACTGGCTGTTCGGGGACGAGCGCTGGAGGTCCGGACTGGCGCGGGAAGACCGTTTTCTGCTGGGCTTCGGCACCGGTTTTCTGGACTTTGACAACGATGGAGACCGGGACCTGCTGGTGGTCAACGGACACGTGGTGGACAACATTGAACGGATCCAGCCCGACCTCTCCCATCCCCAGCCGGATCAGTTGTTCGAAAACCGGGGCGGGCGATTTGTGGAGCATGGGCCCTTCTACCGCTGGTCCTCGCGGCAACCGCGGGTGGGCCGGGGAACCGCCCTGGGAGATATCGACAACGACGGCGATATCGACGTCCTCATCAGCAACTCCGGCGCCGAGCCGGCCTTGCTCATCAACCGGGTCGGCGCACGCCGAAACTGGATCCAACTCCGGTTGACGGGGACCGACAGCAGCCGCGACGCCGTGGGAACCCGCCTGACCCTCACCACGGCCGAGGGAGAGCAGACCGACCAGATCACCGGTGGGGGGAGCTATCTCTCGGCCAGCGATCTGCGCGCCCATTTCGGATTGGGGGAAGCCGCCAGGGTGGAGGAGATCAGGATTCGCTGGCCCAGTGGAAAAGAGGAGGTCCTCAAGGACATTCCCGTCAATCGGATCCTGCAGGTGACCGAGGGTCGGCCCTCCGAGTTCTCGGCGGCCCCCGGTCCCCGTCCGGCAGCGGAGTAGCCCGCCGTGTCCAGAAGATTCCCAATCGCCGTCCTGCTGGGCTGCCTGATCGCCGTCCCTGCACTTTCCAGGCGATCTGCGGGCTCAAGCCGGGCCCGGCACCCGGCGCATGGCCTCCCGGCTGGCGCAACTGGCCCGCAACGCCGATTTTTTCCCGGATCACCCCATGAATACCCGGGCGGTCCCGCATCTGCGCGAGCGCCTGGGATCCGTTCAGGACCCGCGTCAGCAAATGGGCCTGCGGCTGCAGGTGGCGTTGAAGCTTCTGCGGAGCGGGCAGAGCCAGGCTGCCATCGGGGAGTTGACCGAGGTGCAGGCCTGGGTCCGGCGGCAGCCGTGGCAACTGTCGCGGGAGACCACCGCCGTGATCCGGGACTTGCTGGCGGTGGCCTATTTGCGGCTGGGGGAGCAGCAGAACTGCATTGCCGCCCACGGAGAACACTCCTGTTTTCTTCCGGTGCGGGAATCCGGCCGGCATCGCTTGCAGCGGGGCTCCCGGGGAGCCATCGGAGTCCTGCTCCAACTCCTGTCGGATGACCCGGGGCATCTGGGGTTTCGCTGGCTGCTCAACCTGGCCCACATGACCCTGGGGGAGCACCCGGCCAAGGTCCCCCCCCGGTGGGTCATTCCGGCCGAAATCCTGGCCTCCGACTACGATATCGGTCACTTCCGGGAGGTGGCGCCCCAACTGGGCGTGGATGTCACGGCGCTGTCCGGGGGCAGCATCCTGGAAGACTTCGACCGGGACGGCGCCCTGGACATCATGGCTTCCTCCTGGGGGATGCGGGATCCGCTGCGCTACTTCCGCAACAACGGCGACGGCACCTTCAGCGATCGTACCCGAGCCGCCGGCCTGGAAGGGCAGGTCGGAGGCCTCAACATCTGCCAGGCCGACTACAACAACGACGGCTTTCCGGATGTGCTGGTGCTGCGAGGGGCCTGGCTGCAGGGCCTGGGAGACCACCCCAACTCCCTGCTGCGGAACAGCGGCGACGGCACCTTCGAGGATGTCACCGAAGCGGCCGGGCTGCTCAGCTTTCATCCCACTCAGGCGGCCGCCTGGGGGGACTACGACAATGACGGTCACCTGGACCTCTTCATCGGCAACGAATCCACCGGTAGCGACATTCATCCCTGCGAGTTGTTTCGCAACAATGGGGACGGGACCTTCTCGAACCTGGCCGCCTCCCTGGGTCTGGCTCGGGCCGGCTATGTCAAGGGAGTGGCCTGGGGAGACTACGACAACGACGGAGACCCGGACCTCTACCTGTCCCGCATGGATGCCGGCAATCTGCTCTATCGCAATGACGGTCCCGGCCCGTCCGCCGGGGAAAGCGTCGAAGGAAGACCTTCCCGGAGATTCGTGGAGGTGGGCCGGCAGGCCGGGGTCAGGGATCCCCGCAAGAGCTTCGCCACCTGGTTCTGGGACTATGACAACGACGGGTGGCAGGACCTGTTCGTGGCCGGATATTCGCTCAAGCCCGATTTCTCGGGCTCGTTGGAGGAAGTGGTCAAGGCGACCCTGGGGTTGCCCAACCAGGGCGAACCCTCACGGCTCTTCCGCAACAATGGGGATGGAACCTTTGGGGATGTCTCCCGGGAAGCGGGCTTTGAGCGAGCGCTGCTGACCATGGGAGCCAATTTCGGGGACCTGGACAACGACGGATTTCTGGACTGCTACCTGGGCACGGGAGAGCCCGACCTGCGGACGCTCATTCCCAATCAGATGTTTCGGAACCACCGGGGGAGAGTCTTTCAGAACGTCACCACCTCAGGGGGATTCGGCCATCTCCAGAAGGGCCACGGCGTTTCCTTCGGGGATATCGACAATGACGGCGACCAGGACATCTACACGGTGATGGGGGGCTGGTATTCCGGGGATGTCTACCAGAACCTGCTCTTCCTCAATCCGGGCCACCGCAACCGCTGGATCACTCTCCTGCTGGAAGGCGTCAAGACCAATCGCATGGCGCTGGGAGCGCGAATCAAGGTGACGGTAGGGACTCCGGAGGGAAATCGGGACATCCACGCCACCGTCTCCACCGGAGGCAGCTTCGGGGCCTCCAGTCTCCAGCAGGAAATCGGACTGGGCCGGGCGACCGGGATCCAGGCGGTGGAAGTCTACTGGCCCGTGACCGGCAGGACCCAAACCGTTTCCAATCTCTCCCTGGACGGGTTTTTCAGAATTCGAGAGGGGGAACCCGCTCCCATACCCCTGGAGCGGCCGTCCTTCAACTTGGTGCCGCCGACCCGCTGAGCCGCATTCGCGGCTTACTGGAACCCCGGGCTGGCGCCCGGGGGATTATTTTCTTAAGAAATCCCATCCACCCGCTGCACTCGCCTCACGAGTGCACCCCCCTGTGAGAAATGCGGGCTATGAGAAATGGACCGCCGTCGCTGACAAGCGGGACCAAAATCCTTCTGCAATTTCCTTATCTTGGTGTGACTTCGTGCCCCTTCGTGGATCATCCTTCAAAAAACTTCGTGTCTTTCGTGGATAATCCGTCAAGAGGGGTTGAGAGTGGTGGTAGGCCTGGAGGGATTCGAACCCCCGACCTTCGGTTTAGGAAACCGCTGCTCTATCCTGCTGAGCTACAGGCCCATTGTTGCAGAGAGTCACCGCATTGGAACATCCTCCGGTTCCCGCCGGTCGGGGGGATCTTACCGAGCGGTTCGGGGCCTTGGCAAGCCGTTTTGGAGGATGTTTGAAGTCGTCCAAGCGGGCGGCCTTCACCGGGACCGCGCCGCCTCCGGGAGCCGGGCGCCGGCCTGCATGTGGCTGTCGTCCAGGTTTCCGTCCGCATTGAAGGGCAAGGGACGCGGGCCGCAGAGAATGGCCAGATCGTCACGGCCGCGGGCTTCCTCGAGATAAGCGGCCGAACATTCGACCTCGGCCAGGGCCATGGTGTTGCGAATCCAGAGCAGCCTGGCGTCGGGAGGCTCGGTGAGACCGATCTGGGACAGCATCACCTGGAGCATTTCGCGATCGGTGGGGTAGTCCAGGGGAATCATGGCCTCCATGGTGAATCCCCCGGTCAAGGCATTGACCCGCGTCATCCCGACGTCCATCTTTTCCAGCGCCCGGCGGCGGCAGAACTCGACCGTCCCGATCCCGACGGCGCTGCCGTGGGTCAGGGGGCTCAGGTCCCGGACCGCAATCATCCGGATCTTGGGGACCTCCTGCTCCGCCGGGCTGTGCCACAGGTGCTTGCGGCCGACCACGTTCAGGTCCAGCCCCGACCCGCTGATGTTCTTGCCGATCTCGTCCACCAGCAGGATGTCCGCCGCCTGAAAGGGAAGCCGCGGCATCCAGCGTCTGGCCTGTCGGAGCAGGGCCTTCTCCCCCTCCAGCAGAGCTTCGGGCCGCAGCGCCTGAATCCTGGCGGTCCGCCCGTAGCTGTTTTCCACCACGGCCAGCCCGGCCAGAATGGAACATTTCGACAGGACCTCCCGGGCCACGCTGCCAACGATTCGTCCGAAGCTGTAGTCCTTGATGGCGCGATGATAGACTCGGGCGCCGTCGTGCTTGCCCAGGCCGATCAGCATCATCTTCATGAGGCCGCTTTCGACCTCGCCCGAGAAGAGCGTGTGGGGCTTCACGCGATTGCAGACCACCAGGTGGTCGGCCTGGAAGGCCTGCTTGTCGAAATGGACGGGAAAGCCCTCGGACGCCCGGCAAACGACCACGGTATCCATGCTGGATCGGATGGGGCAGCCGCAGACGGCCTCGGTGATTCCGTAGGACTCGATAATTTTCTGCTGGCCCCGGGCGGTCCCGCCGCCGTGGCTGCCCATGGCGGGGACGATGAAGGGCCTGGCGCCGAGTTGCCGGAAGTGGCGCACGGCGGCCTGCAGGATCCGGCTGATGTTGGCAATCCCGCGACTTCCGGCGGTGATGGCCACCGTCTGGCCGGGCCGGACCCGCTCCCCCAGGGAAAGGCCCGCCAGCTCGGCCTCGACCGCGCCGGCGGCATCGGCCAGCTCGGGTCCTTCGAAATGCTGCCGGAGGCGGAACATCCGCGGGAATTCAGCCATCTCGCCGAACCTTTCTACGGGAAATAAAGTCCAGGAAAATCGGGACCTTCCAACGCGCCGCCAATTATACAGGATGCCGGGAGGCGGCGATCTCTTCGGCGCGCCCCGGCGGGTTTCTGACAAAAAGTCGGAATCGCTACCGCGGCATGGCGCGCCGCTCCCGGAAGTCATCGAACCGGTTACTGAGGATGACGCAACCCAAAGCCAGGATGGCATTGGCGCCGCAGATCACTCCCCCCTTGAGGGGGAGTCGCAGAAGCCGAGCCGCCAGGCGAAGGCTGATGCGGTGGGGGGCCCCCCACCCCCTCCGCCCCTCGCCTCACAGATTTTTCCTACACCCCGCTCCGACTCAATCTTTTACCGCGGACCGGACTTTGCACTAAACTGGGTGCCGGCGCCGAGCGGCCGGCCTGCGGGGCCGCTGGAGCAACGCCGCCGGCCGGAGGTTCAGGGATGTCTTCTCGGATGGATTCGATCCAATTCGAAGTGATTCGCAACGCCCTGGTCGAAGCTACCGAGGAAATGGCGATCTCGCTCAGGCGCAGCGCCTATTCCACCAACATCAAGACCCGGGCCGATTTCTCCTGCGCCTACTTCCGACCGCCGGTTGAGACCCATCGCTCAGGCCTTCGGACAGGCGGTCCATCTGGGATCGCTGGTGGAGCTGGTGCCCAGGGCTGTCCGGGAATACGGCCTTGAAAAACTGGGAGAGGGAGACGCCATCCTGACCAACGACCCCTATTCCGGCGGGGTCCATTTGAACGACGTGACGCTCATCTCGCCGGTCTATGTCCAGGGAGAGTGCTTTGGCTATGTGGCCAACCTGGCCCATCACGTGGACGTGGGCGGAGGGGCGCCGGCCAGCATCGGCGCGTTCCGGGAAGTCTTCCAGGAAGGGATCATCGTTCCTCCCATCAAGCTGGTGCGGGGAGGGGAGGTGGTGGAGGATCTTTTTGCGCTGGTGATGGCTCAGATTCGCTCGAAATACGAGACGGCCGGAGATTTCCGGGCTCAGATGGCGGCCAACGTCACCGGGGTGCGCCGCTTGCAGGACCTGCTGGCCCGGTGGGGAATCGAAGCCGTCCGGACCTGCCAGGATGAGCTGCTCGCCTACACCGAGCGTCGAGTGCGGCAGGAGCTGGCCCGCTTGCCCCGGGGAGAGTTTTCCGCAGAGGGGTTTGTGGACAACGACGGCTTTACCGACCGACCGGTGCGTCTGGCGGCCAAGGTGGTGATCGCCGAGAGGGGAGTCTCGTTTGACCTGAATGGTTCCGATCCGCAAAGGCCGGCTCCCGTCAACTCCACCTACGCCATGACCTATTCGGCCTGCGCCTACGTCCTCAAGTGCCTCATCGATCCGGACGTGCCGGTCAACCACGGCTTTTACCGCCTGGTGAAGCTTCGGGCCCCCGCCGGCACCGTCGTCCACGCCCGGCCTCCGGCTCCGGTGGTCGGGGGCTGGGAGACACAGACGCGGCTGACGGACGTGATGTTCAAGGCGCTGGCGCCGGCGCTGCCGCGGCGTGTGCCGGCCGGGACCAAGGCCATGATGTGCCAGTGGGGTTTGGCGGCGCCGACCCCAGGACCGGTGAGCTCTATGCGTTCTACGAGGCCATTGCCGGCGGCTACGGCGGACGGCCTCCCGGGACGGTCCCGACGCCGTGCAGGCCCACGGCCAGAATACCGAGAATGCGCCGGTCGAAGAGATCGAGCTCAACTATCCCGTGCGGATCGTTCGCTATGAGCTGGTGGAGGAGTCGGAGGGAGCCGGAAGACAGCGGGGCGGCCTGGGACTGCGCCGCTGATTTGTATTCGCTCCCACGATCACAGCCGTCACTTTACCAATCCTGGCGGACCGGGACCGGTGGGGCCCCTGGGGGCTGTTCGGGGGATTGCCCGGCCGCAAGGCCAGCTATATCTGAATCCCCAGAGTACAGCCACCGAGCTGGGTTCCAAAGTGACCCTCCAGCTCGAGCCGGGGTGGGGAGGGAGTGTCCAGCTACGCACACTGTACGGCGCGGCTACGGGGACCCCCATCAACGGGACCCCCAGGCGGTCGCCGGGGATGTGCGGGAGGGCAAGGTCGGCGTGGAGCGGGCCAGGAGGGTTTACCGGGTGGCTGTCGACCCGGTCACGCTCCGGTTGGACGAGAAGCGGACCCGGGAACTGCGCCGGAGCGGCCGACGGATGACCATAGCTCAGGCGTAAACGGGTAAGGGCGGGCCGGGGGCAGGGCCCTGTTCATCGGAAACCAATGGAGATAGCCGGGCCCCGATCATTTGAGGAAAAGCGGCTTGTAGTTTATGAAAATCGTAAGGAATAGAACCGCGAATGCGGCGCCGTGGTCGGCTATTCGGTCGACTGCACGGTTGGAGACACGAGCGGCAGCGGCGGTGTGGGTCCTGGGCGATTCAGAAGGTATGATTCGATCGTGGATGGATACCGCGAAGTGCGCTCCGGCAAGGCAGACCAACTCGATGTCTCATCGAGGCGCTCGAGTTTGGCGCGTTTCTGGAACGGGAATTCGATCAGGAGGAACGGACGCGGCAATGGACGAACACGAGTGCACGCGGAGGATGCGCGTTACAAGTGCAGTGGTACTAACGCTTTGGCTTGAGTAGAGTTAGAATCCTTCGTACGTATAGCGTGAACGGTCCGTCTTTGAAGTCATTGGAACCGGCGGGTTTGAACAGGGGACTATACTGCCGCCATTCATGCGCGCTTCAGGACATTGGTCGCGAAAAAGCGGAGCGGCGGACACGCCAGCAGTTCGGGTTCGGGTAGTTGTAGTCGGAAGGATCAGCGAAGTACGGAGATTCACATGGCGAAGGGATCCGTTCTAGTTACCGGAAAGTTGATCCATTAGGAAAGGAACCCACATGACGGTCGTGGTCGGTCCAGTCGAAGGGAGCAGATCCCGCATGGTTCGCAAGGGCGGGAACGAGGGGAATGTGCGGCGCGGTTAAAGGGTTACGTAGGTGTGAGGTATCCGGGGTCTCGACGATCGAGATTCAGTCGGGCTCCCGCACATATTCCGCGATCTGGCGCGGTGGTGGTACTATGGGTACACCCCCACTTAGCGCTGTCTCTGGTGTTCTTTAGTGGAGACGAGGTGTGCTCGTCCACAAAAGGCTAGGTCGTTCAGATGGATGTGGAAACATTGATCCCGCCCGAAGACAGTCCCCAAGCGGCCGCGAAAGCGGGGAGACCTTCGTTTCGGGACCCAGTTGCCGGAATTGGGGGGAAGGAAGTAATAGGGATTTCGATCGCGCGGAGAGGAGACGGAGAATGGACGCAAGGTTGGCATGAATCCCAGGCTTGCGAAAAGCGGTGGCGGACGATCCTGCCGGATCTTCGCGGCGAGAGGCGGAAAGACCAGCGAACCGCGGTGGTCTCTGGCGATGAATCGCACGGAACTCTGCGGACAGCTGCCAGTGAGAATCTCCAACCAGCCGGTCGAGCTTGAGTGATGAACTTTCCCCCTCAACCGCTGGCATCAGG